AAGACAGCATAAAAATATATTAACTTTATATTAATATAAAAAATAAGTTTATTAATTCAAAATAACAATATTGTAATTTTGAGTTTGATTATATTAATTTGAGATAATAATAATAATAATAATAATAATAATAATAATAATAATAATAATAATAATAATAATAATAATAATAATAATAATAATAATAATAATAATAATAAGTTTATTATCTAATATTTTATAATAAATCTATAATAATATTTTAAATTTTTTTCATCTTGATTGATCTCATTAATTCTCCTCTAATATTTCACTAACGAGAATTATCAATATTATTTTAAATTAATTTATAAAATAATTTTGAAAACTAAAAGCTAATACTCTTTCATATAAATTTTAATATGTTTTTAGTAAATATTATAACAAAATGTACTATGTTGTAATTGTGAATGTTTTTTAGCATTAATTATATTTTGAAAAAAAAAATATAAATAATTATATTTTGAAAAAAATTATGGAAATAACAATGTTTCGAAAAAAATTATATAAATAATCATGTTTTCGTAAAAAAAATTTAATTAAAGAGGAGATGTCACTTGAATTGGCGCTTCCTATATATTTCTCACATTTTATGTTATGTGTGGATTTTTCTGTAGATTTGACATTACTTGCAGACTTACCTGCGGATTGTACTATAAAATTACCTGCAGAAATATAGTCGACAGATAAGTCCGAAAGTAAATCTGCAGAAAAAATCAAATTTACAGGAAAATCCACAATTAAATAGAAAAAATTTAAAAAATTTAAAAGATGACTAGACGCCATCTCACTTGACACCGTCTTTTTAAAAAAAATCAATACACGCATCATCTAAAATAACTACTGCATTTTTTCTGAAACATAATCATCTGTAAATTTTTTCGAAACATATTTTATTTGTATTTTTTTTTCAAAATATAATTATTACTGATTGTAATTGTGTCTGATATTATCATCTATTTTATGTTGATAAGCTCCACATGAATACGCCCCACATTGTTGACTCTTCATCATGACAATACAAACTAGGTGATAAAATATGTTGCCACATATCCGTTTCTTCCGGTTTCTTCAATCTTCTGGATTTTGATTTTCAAGATATAAAATGTAAAAGCTCATACTAGTCAAACCCCATGGGCTATATATATGTCTTCCGATCTTCACATATACATAAAACACACACAAATAACATATTAAGTAATTAAAGTGAGTCATATTAAGTTTATATATATTCATATCAGTGTGATTAAGCCATGGAGAAAAAAGCAGTAGCAGCCTTGTCCTTCCTCTTCCTCGTTCTCTTTGTTGCACGTAAGTTATCATTATTCCTTTGTTCAATATTTATTATTACTACTTTATAATTAATATTTTAGTGGTGTCTTGATGCAGAAGAAATAGCGGTGAGTGAGGCAAAAACTTGTGAGAATCTGTCAGACACATTCAAGGGACCATGCATTCCAGATGGTAACTGTAACAAGCATTGCAAGAACAATGAGCACTTACTTAGTGGAAGGTGCAGGGATGATTTTCGCTGCTGGTGCACTAGAAACTGTTAAATCTCTTTTCTCCAACACGCAACGAAATTATATACATAAATAAAGCTATGATATAAATAAATAAAGGAGTATGCGGTATACCTAGCTAGGACTGCAGCTGTATGTTGTACTGAGTCGTTATTGTGAATTATGTGTGTACTCAATATCGTGCATAACTTATCAGCTATGCATTTTGTTATATGGAATAAAAACACTAGTAATCATAAGTTCGTTTAGTCTTTTTTTGTGTGACTATTTTTTATTTATGATTATTGTTCAAAAATTGAAAATTATTATAATAATAATAATAATAATAATAATAATAATAATAATAATTAATTAAATAATAATAATAATAATAATAATAATAATATTATTATTATTATTATTATTATTATTATTATTATATTATTAATATTATTATTATTATTATAATAATAATATTATTATTATTATTATATTATTTAATTAATAATCAATAATAATATAAAAAAATACTAATACTAACTTATTACTATTTTTATCCATATAACAAAATCATAACTTATCACTATCTTTATATAATAAAACACTCACTATAATCATAATTCTTTATCTTTGACTATTTATTATTATTCATAATTAAATTATTATAATAATAATAATAATATTATAATAATAATAATAATAATAATAATAATAATAATAATAATAATAATAATAATTATTATTATTATTATTATATTATATATATTAATATTATTATTATTATAATAATAATAATAATAATTATTATTATTATAATAATAATAATAATAATAATAATTATTATATTATTATTATTATTATTATTATTATTATTATTATAATAATAATATTATATTATTATAATAATAATAATAATAATAATAATAATAATAATAATAATAATTATTATTATTATTATTATTATATTATTATTATTATTA